TTCACATGTGTGAATGATATGTATTTCTGTGGACTGTTTTCTTAGAAAATTTTCTATATGATTGATTTTTAACTAACAATGTTACTTTACTTTCTGAAGTCAAATGGTAGTAGAGAATAAACTCTTGATATGAAAGAAACCTAATTATTTTATGTGTCCCACTTTGTTAACTGAAGAAAAGGAAGGTATGTTGATTTCAATAACAAATAAGAAATGTCAAAAATGAAGAATTTTCAGATGATGGAGAAGAAACTAAATTAATGTTCTCCATGGATGAGCAACTGTGATAATGATTGGAGAAATCCTTATTTAACTTGTTTGGTTCTCAGTTTTGCTGAATTAATTGGAAATAATACCAGACTTCTTTGGGCAGGTATCACAATGTTGGGGTTAGTGAAGAGCTGTATAGGCACCAAATTTACTGGCCAATTTGGTGATCTGATTGCTGTAAGCATGTTCTTTATATTTGATTCCAAAGTTTCAATGTGCCTATTCTAATGGACGTTGAAAAATGCATTTTTTTTTTGTGTTTAACGAAAAAATTCAATTTGGTTGGCATTTCTTTATTTAAGACGTGTATTTAAATAATACTATGTTTTGCAACTTATTCCTGCTGATTGTCTATCTTCAAGTTTTAAGTGGTTGGAAGCCCATTTAAATAAGAATATGGCTTGCTGGATTTTTGTTTCCTTTTTTTTCTTTTTTCCGGGTAAATGGCTCTTTGTTTCCCCCAACATCCTATCTTTTTCATTTGTGTTCTAGTTTCTTCATGAATTTTGGTCTGATGGTGTAATTTTCAATTTAATTTTACTGGTTCTCCTTGGTCGACCGCTAGGATTTAGCACTTGATGCAACCACAACAGTTGGTGTTGATCTTGGCCAAGGTATACGAGAAGTGGACATTAAGAAGTACATAAGGGTTGAGAAAGTCCCTGGCGGCCAGTTGGAGGATTCCAAGGTTCTCAAAGGAGTTATGATCAACAAAGATGTTGTTTCCCCTGGCAAAATGAGGAGAAAAATTGTCAATCCCCGTGTTATTCTACTTGATTGCCCTCTCGAATACAAAAAAGGGGAGAGTCAGACAAACGCAGAGTTGGTCAGAGAAGAGGACTGGGGAGTCCTACTTAAAATGGAGGAAGAATACATTGAGAATCTCTGTGTGCAAATATTGAAGTTCAAACCCGACTTGGTCATAACAGAAAAAGGGCTTAGTGATCTGGCATGCCATTTCTTTAGTAAAGCTGGAGTCAGTGCAATCAGGAGATTGAGAAAACCAGACAACAATAGAATTGCCAAGGCATGTGGGGCTGTCATTGTCAACAGACCAGATGAGCTTCAAGAATCAGATGTAGGAACTGGGGCTGGGCTTTTTGAGGTCAAGAAGATTGGAGATGAGTTCTTTACATTTATTGTTGAGTGCAGAGATCCTAAAGCATGCACTGTTCTTTTGCGAGGTGCTAGCAAGGATCTTTTGAATGAAGTCGAATGCAACTTGCAGGTACACGTGAGGTAGTACTTACAGTTTTTTACATATCAGGAATATATGGTCTGAAGCATCATTTCTGTTGACAGGATGCCATGTCTGTTGCTAGGAACATCATAAAGAATCCAAAACTTCTCCCTGGTGGTGGTGCTACAGAGTTAACTGTATCTGCTACATTGAAGCAAAAGAGCTCATCCATTGAAGGCATTGAAAAGGTAAATTTCACTTCCTTTTATGTCTCAACTTCGCCTGTATTTTAACCAGTTGTACTTATTTGGTTGATTGAATTTTTCATAGACTTGGGACTTAGCTGATGTCCAATTTTTTATTTGGCTGTGAAACAGTGGCCTTATGAAGCTGCTGCATTAGCGTTCGAGGCTATTCCACGTACTCTAGCACAAAATTGTGGTGTCAATGTCATTAGGACCATGACTGCCCTGCAGGGGAAGGCAAGAAATTCGTTGATTGCTAGTGATTGTTATCCTTTCATATTACATCATGTTATCTATGTGATTGCACCACCCTTTGTCTTTTTTTTTTTTTTTCTTTTCCAAAGATAACTACTATATGAGGCTGTATTTGAATGGCCAATGGGCCAACCATGCCTTTTTTTTTTTAGCACAATGAAATGCCTAAACTTTGAGAAATGAAGTTTGTGATTTCTTTCATGAGTTATTGAATTGTTTTGTTTAATAATCGTATTTCTTTACTTCTTCAACAGCATGCAAATGGTGAAAACGCTTGGATTGGTATAGATGGGAATACTGGTGCAATTACAGATATGAAGGAGCAAAAGGTAAAATAATTCTCCTATGTTCTCCTTTTGACTCATGTTTGTGTGTTCTTTAAGGGTTTACGACTGTTGTTTCCATTCGTCTTCTTTCTGACACCTCACAATGCCATCAAATTTCCCACTCTTCTCATATGTTTTCAGATCTGGGATGCTTATAATGTTAAGGCACAAACCTTTAAGACGGCCATTGAAGCTGCATGTATGCTTCTTAGAATTGATGACATTGTGAGTGGAATCAAAAAGAAGGAAGCTCCTGGGTCCCAAGCTCCATCAAAGCCTACCATTGAACAAGAAGGAGATGCAGACAATGAGCAGATGATACCCGAATAGAACTTTCGTAATGATTGTTCTCTTAAGAGTTTCAAAGTTGCACTCGTGGAGCATTGTTATTTGCGGTACTTTTTGCTTGGCATTTATGGCACTTGTCCTTTGGATTTTGGACAGTTTTGTGTTCAGGTGGTAGCTCTCTGAAAATAACTTATTGCTTGGCAGTTGTGGCACTTGTCCTATGGATTTTGGACAGTTTTGTGTTCAGGTGGTAGCTCTCTGAAAATATGTTCTCTCTCGTTTTTGCTTTTTTTTTGTCTTCTTCACTTTCATGATTGTGGCTCACTTATTTGTTTTTCTATTTTTCCATTCGACAACTACGATAGGTTAGTTCAATTTCAAACTCTTTCAATGAGTTTTGGTGTTTATATTACCTCACTGACGGTATAAGTCGTTGTACTGAAATCCTATAAAAATTTTCTTAAAAATAATTTTCGAATACTATATTTTAAGATGTAAATTAAATGGACCTAATTTTCGTTGTTTATGTTATTTCCTGTCTCCTTCTGCCACCACCACGTTCACCACACCACTACCACACTTCCACCACCACCCTTCCACCACTTCAACTACCGCCACCACACTTTCACCAACATCATCACCATAATTATATTTTTGTTTTCATTATTTTTATGTTATTGTTTAAATAAGTTTTAATGTTTTCTTTTCCGTAGAACTCTTTTTAAATCATACAATTAAATAAATTTTAAGACACAAAATATATAAAAAATAATTTTTTAAAACGTTTGTCAAAATTTTTTTTGAATACTATTTCTTAAAATGTAAATAGAACAGACCTAATTTTCTTGATTTTTGTTATTTCCTGTCTCCTACAAATGATCTGTCTTGTCCTTCGGTCTTCGTGTTCTATGGGAATGTGGGTCAGCAGTGCCCTGTTCTCTGAACTCTGAAGTCTTGTTTCTTGCGCATGAGTAAGATTTATGACAACTGATACTGTGGTCCTCTTAAAAAAGAACCTCTTTTTCAGAGCTCCCCATGCTGCAACTTGTTTCCGGTCTTGATTTTTCAACTCTACGGTAAATACTATTCTAAGTCTAATTTGTTATTTCAATCTGTGGATTTAATATATCATTATAATTTGGTATACACATGTTTACTTTCTTCAATGAGACTGGGTTAAAAATGAAAGCACTTTGAACTAGATAAGATTTATTTTAAATATTCTAATCTTAGTGTAAATTGTTTGCTTCTGACAAGATCGGAGTTAGGAAAAGATTAATCAAAGTACATGTAAAATGACCCAAACACCCACCATTGAACAATAAGAAGAAAAGAAAAGGGAGAGAATCTAATCTAAAGCACTCTGTGGGTTGTATTGTATTGTCTTATTCGTTTTTGTAACTTTCAACTCAGAATCAGTTTCTTTTTGATCTTTTTGACAATAAATTAGCATATATTGAGAATCTGTGGAACTATTCCAGTAAATAAATTCGTCTGCTTTATCAAGAAAAAATTGCCTAAAGTAAAAGAACTCTAAAAAAATAAAAAAGAAAGATTTCTCTCACATTTATTTTTACATTTTTCTCTTACAAAACACGAGTAATGCTATGCTTACCAAAAAATATTTTTATCAAATGAGTTGACAACTCTGTATTCAATCAAAAATATTTTGATCAGCATTTGATAGGTCTAAGAATGATGTAGAGTGTTCACTCATTCGATAAAAATATTTTTTAGTAAAATTTTAGTATGCATAGTATTTTCTAGAAAACATACCATGGAAGACATAGAGACTCTCTCTCTCTCTCTAACATATGAAAATGTACCGAAAAATGTTCAAAATATGCATAAATATTTTTTTTTGTGTGTTGATAAAAAAAAGTGCAAAACTACTGCTCAAGCAAAATTTGAAACAAGTACAAAAGAAGAATTTTTTTTTTTTTTTGAAAAAATAGAAAACTGCACGAATGGAGGTGTAATGTAGATCTATTTGTCCTAAGTTCGAGTTCTTCTACGGGTTTATCATATAATACTTGGATTTAATTGATTCAAATTATTTATGAATATTGTTATTTGAATCTAAAAAGTTAATATAATTTATGACGATAATTGTTGAACTTTTTATTAATACTTCATCACTTGAGAATAACATAATAGCCATAAATTCAAGGAGTAGATTACCGTACATCTTAGAAGCTTTTTGGTATCATACGGAGATTTATCACATTTGTAGTAGTCTTTATCACATTTGTGGATAATTTTATCATTGTTGTGATATCCCAAAAAATGGTAAAAATATTTATCACAATAGTGGTAAAAACATTCATAAATGTTTTAAAAACACCCACAAATATTGTAAATCAATCACAAAAGTGATAATTTTTTTTGTATTTAAGAAACATGGTAAAAATAGTTATCACCAATGTAGTAAAAATACCTCAAATAGTGGTAAAAGTATCTATAAAAGTGATAAATCAACCACAAAAATGATAAATATTTTGTTTATAAAATGACCTACAAAAATTATAAAAATATATTTTGAAATAATAAATTTTAGAGATATGATACGAAATTTTTTTACTGTACCATAGTTGAGTCCTAAATTTCAAACAGTCTAACTATCAATTTGTTTCATGACAACCTCACTCGAATTACGGGATTGATAATTGACAATGATGGTGAATGATGAGTTCAATATACCGTGAAAAATAGGAAAAAAAAAAAAGAAAGATGATCGATGAGTAAATATTAAATAAAATGGTGATAAAATTTAAGTAATATTGACATGGTATTATTAATTAATAATAAAATATTTTAATGAATAAGATATTGTCACGTAATATCACTTTTGTAATAAATATTTTCTCGTGATCGAAATAGTTCTATTTTTAAAAAATAAATAATACTATTTGAATTTAAAAATTGATCTCGTTTATTGATTTGGTTCATCATTATTTTTGGATTGCTTTTGGGCTTGCCAAACATTGAAATTTACTCTTATCAAATGGTTCTATTAAAACGGCATGGTCAACGTGAGATTTTTAAATCTGAATAATATTATTATTAAAAAATTCAAGAAAAAAAGAAATTTCTCTTACTTATATGCCTGTCTCTCAGAAAACATTCTATCGTAGTCATTGGTTCTCTCTCTCTCTCACAGCAGAGTAAGGGGAGAAAATGGACAGAACAGTGAAGTTCAGCAGAAGTATTCTCTTCTTCCTCTTGTTTTTATTAGACAAATCTTTCAGTACTGTAAGCACCTTCTTTCACTTCCTTTTAGCTTGTAGCTAGTGACATTAGCTTCTATATATGCCTAATTTACTAGTTACTTCTCTCTCTCTCTCTCTCTCCTTGCATGCAGGTTTCATTGGTTTTGACAAATACAACTCCAGGAGACTCGGCCCCAAAAGAAAACCCATTTACTGCCAAGGCTTATGTGATTAGATATTGGAACAAACACATCACCAACAACCACCCCAAGCCACCATTTCTACTCTCGAAAGCCTCCCCTCTCTCCGCCGTCGACTCCGCCTTTTTCACCAAACTCGCCGCCCACAACCACCTCTCTTCCCACCTCTCCTCTTTCTGCTCCGCCGCCAATTTATTCTGTCTTTTCGACTTCGACTCCACCACCCCAATCGATCCAAACAAACAAGACAACAAAGACGCCAACTTCGCCTTTTACACCAACAAACAATTCTCCAACTACGTAAGGTCTCGACTCGGCGGCGCAGATACGTTCAAGAACTACTCGGGCTCTGTCAACTTCGCCACCGGTAGTTTCACTCGCTACAGCCGAAGCTCCACAGCCCATAAAGAAGGCTTCGCCACCTATGCTAACGACGGCAATGTAGCCAATTCCAACTTCACCTCCTACGCTTCCGGCGCCACTGGTGGCTCCGGAGAGTTCCAAACATACATGTCTCTCGTCAACGTCCCGGACCTCCGCTTCACTTCTTACGATTCCGACGGTAACAATCATAAGCTCTCATTTTCAAGCTATGTTGACGATACAAACTCAGGAAACGAAGGCTTTACAAGCTATGGTAAGAATGGTAATGACGTCCCTGTTGAGTTTTCCAGCTATGGCGATTCATCAAACGTTATTGGGTCGTCGTTCTCCGGCTACGGCGAGTTGGGTAACGCCGGTAATGATTCGTTTAAGGCTTATAGTTCAAATTCCAATAACCCAAACAACAATTTTAAAAGCTATGGCGTTGGAGGCAATTCTGGAGTTGATAGCTTCTCTAGTTACAGAGATGGAGCCAATTCAGGAAGTGATAAGTTTCAATCTTATGGGAAGAATTCAAATTCCGGGAAAACAAATTTTCTGAATTATGGAAAATCTTTCAACGAAGGAATCGATTTTTTCAGGGAATATGGAAAAGGATCGACTAGTGAAGTGATTGGGTTCAAGGTTTATGGATTGAACAGTACATTCAAAGAGTATGATCAAAAGGGTGTCACTTTTGCTCAGTACACCAGTTCAGAAAACTCCTCCATGGACGAATCCACGAAGGTGAGTGGCAATTCCGTAAATAGATGGGTGGAACAGGGCAAATTTTTCCGAGAGTCCATGTTGAAAGAGGGAATTATCATGAAAATGCCAGATATTCGTGACAAAATGCCTAAAAGGTCGTTTTTGCCCCGGACAATTATGTCAAATTTACCATTTTCAACCACTCGACTAGGGGAGATTAAGCAAATCTTCAACGCACGGGATAACACCGCAATGGAGCGCATGATATCAAACACGGTGGAGGAGTGCGAGCGTGAGCCGAGCCGGGGCGAGACCAAGCAGTGCGTGGGATCGGTGGAGGACATGATCGACTTCGCGGTCGCGGTATTGGGCCACAATGTGGTGGTGCGGACCACGGAAAATGTAAATGGGTCAAACCAAAATGTGATGATTGGAAAAGTTAGAGGAATGAACGGCGGAGAAGTGACCAAATCAGTGTCCTGCCACCAGAGTTTGTACCCGTACTTACTATATTATTGCCACTCTGTACCAAAAGTGAGGGTCTACGTGGCAGACATTCTTGACGTAGAGAGCAAGGTTAAGATCAATCATGGTATTGCCATTTGTCACGTTGACACATCAGCATGGAGCCCAGGGCATGGAGCTTTTGTGGCCCTAGGGTCGGGCCCTGGTCTCATTGAGGTCTGCCATTGGATCTTTGAGAATGACATGACTTGGGCAGTTGCTGATTGATCACAAAAATAACATCGTATAGTTGTTTTTGTGGATGAAAACATTGTGTTTGATGTTATTTGTGTAATCATGGGGATGTAATGAAATGGGTGTCGGGATTCGAATCTCATAATTTTCATTTAACAAGGATATAAAATAGTTTTATGTTTTGTGGGCATTGTAATCCACCTATTAATTACTCGTTTAATGTTTTTAACATTTGAATCTGATTCTAAGCGATCTTTGTTGTCTAGAGTTTGAGCCTCTCTCATTCCAATTCTTTGATTGACAATTCAAAAACTGCAAAGATTGGCTAATGTTGATGAAAAGGGTTGTTGCCTCGTTAAAATATAGCACCATAGTTTTCTAACACAAATGGAATAGCATGAGAAATTTTACTGAAAATATTGTAAGTATACGGTAAAAGATGATATTATAACGAAATCGGAACCATGAACCATGACCAATGGGTTTTGCCTTGAAGAAGCATGATTTTGCATTTTACCCTACCAACCATTACATCCTGAAGGAGGAAGAGAAGGGGGGAGGGGGGCCGGGTTGTAATGCAAAAGGAAGAAAGTTAAGGTTAAATGTTCCTAGGTTGGGTACACGAGAGAGAGAGAGAGAGACTCTGCATTGATGTTGTAATATGCTCAATTGAGCATGTCGAGTGCAAATTGTTTGTGCTGTCAAGAAAAAAGAAAAGCAGTAGACAAGCATGCACACAAATAATGCAATTGCAGCTTTGAGTACATCTAAAGCACGGCACTGCAGAATTGGCTCCGCAACGCTTAACAGCTATGTGGCACGGAGACTTTGTTGAAATTGATATACTGGTATCTAATATTGTATTAGATATGATACACGTTGAATATTCGAAGATATATATTGAATATATATTCTACGTATTCAATAATAATTAAATATTAAAATATTTCACGAATATTTTTGTAGTCGAGCAACATATATAATTTTTAAATTGAGTTTTTAACATCTCTTTTCGAATTCATATATCATATAATATATAAATAAAAAATTCATATTACTTTAAAGACACATGAGTGTTTCTTAAGTATTATCTACAATTATATGTCAAAAAAATATAAAATAAAATTATTACATTATTATCTTAGCAAAAATTACTTCTAAATACTAGATAGATATTAGTTTTGATTTCTTTAATTAGTCATTTCACTTTGTGAATATACTACAACAATACGATATGTATTTTTTTGAAACTAAAAAAATTTATTAATTTCCCTTATTGTATATTAAAAAACTACTAATATATATAATTATTAAGCTGGTTGAAAATAATAAAAATATTAAATATATTTTATTATAGTCGTATCTTAACCGTACTCGTATTCTACTTTTTTAAACTTTGTTGTATCACCGTATCCTTATCGTATCGTACCTGTATTCGTGCCTCATAGCTTAAGAGTCTTACTATTTACTTGATACTCTCGAGATACAACTAAAATTTTTATAAAAATTTACTTTCAAAATATTTTTAATTGGATATAGAGTTGTCAACTTATTTGGTAAAAATAATTTTTGATAAAAGTTTTGATAAGCATAACATTACTCATAAATATAATATCTGTCATATTGATATACTAATTATTGTCTGTGTCTGAAGGCACAAAATAATAAAAAAAATAAAAAATAAAAAATATATTTGTAATTTATCCAAAATTAAATCACAAATATAGATAAAAAATAAAAAAAATTTAAGTATCGGTTTGTAGTGGGGATGAGAGGTGATGGATAGTAGTGGTGGTGGTAGGAAACGGTGATGGTTATGGTGAGTGGCAATGACCGGAGTGGCGGTGGTGGGGGGTAGAGGTAGTGGTGAGGCGATTTAAAACACTATTTTTTTAAGTATTTATGAGAAATAATTTCTAAAAGTAATTTTAAAAAGTCACTTCAAACACTGTTATCAGAATCGGACTGGACCGGCGGGTCGGACCGGTTCAACCATGAACCGGGACCCTAACCGGTCCGATTATTTAGTTAAACCGTTTAAGGAAGCGAACCGGCTAAAAATCGAAAAATTGACCGATTTTTAACAAAAATCGATTTTTAAAAATTAAATTACATAAATAAATTTTTTTGTCCTAAATCAGTAAATAGTTGATTTTTTTAACCTTATTCTTGAAAAAATTATAAATAACACCCCTTCTTTTTCTTTATAATTTACTTGAACCTCTTTACTTTGCTTTAAAATATAATAACCCTTACTTTGTTACTTAATTTCATTAATTTTATGGCAAATTTTATATATTTTATACATATTTTATATTTTTTAGCTAAATTATTAAGTTTTATAATTATTATATATATATTTTTATTTTTTATTATATGACCGGTCCGACCAGTTGACTCAACGGTTGAACCATTGACCCGATCCCCTTGCCGGTTCGATGACCGGTCCGATTCTGATAACATTACTTCAAACACACCATGAGGACATATTTTTCCTTTTAAATTTAAGGTGTTAATATTAGTCGTTAGATTAACGTTATAAGTAAAATTAAAAACGATCTCAACCGCGAATAACAAAAGTCATTTTGTTTATTTTTGAGATTTGAATTGTACACTACTTTATTACATACATGTAACTATTTTTTTTAAGTAGCATACCAAAAAATAGATTCTAGTCGTATTGGTTTCTTTGTCATGTTAATCTTAAAAGTAAAAATGAAGAAAAAATATAATAAAACATAGAATTTCACATGTATTATGTTCTGATTTGGTGGAAATTGTAGGAGGTAATTACCATACTAGAAAGTTATTTTTTGATTATATAGTGGGATCCCTTTACTATGGACCATATATAAATTGACGGGATCCAATCAAATATATAATCTTTTTTTGTTCAAGAATCGTTTAAATATCGAAATTTTGAATATGAGAAAAAAAAATGTGATAGGATTAGCTCAGTTGGTGACAGAATGAGCTTAATCAAGAATTTAAACTCGGCACTATGGTAGTTAATTTAAGCCAATTCTAAATATACGAAAAGTATAAGACTTAGCTCGATCAACACCTAAGCCGGGTGAGGAGAAAAAACCCTAATGGAGAAAATACTCGAACATGCTTAGTTTGCCTCAAAAGTAGCCTAGAATCCATGTTGAACACATGAATATAGTCTTCTAAACCAAAATCCTGAAAAGTTAAGGCCTGCTAAGTAGGCCTCTTATTGGCCCAAGGTTAATTTAGTTGGCCTAATAATGATTGTCTCTGTTGTTGGACGTTACCGTCGCGGATTCAAACATTGTTACCCCCTCCTTATAATGTTGATTGACAAAAACAAAAAATTCAACAACCGCAGCAGTTTATGAGTAGGTTTGATGCTCATATTATAGCAACTGCTTGGGCAGTAATGTGTATGAAATGATGATTGATGAAGAGGTTGAGGATGGATCAAGCCCAAATCCACGAGTTTACTGAGGCCTTTAGCTTTCACATGGTCTCTAAAAGTTTTTTTTTTCCAACGGTTAAGAGTGTTTGGACTAGTTTATATATATTTCGATTAATCCCTTCTCCGATTTAGTCAAAGACAAGACATTAACGTCCAAAGTTAAACCTATAATGTTTTATAGATAAATCTAAACAAGACGAATATTAATTGAATTCGCTGGTTAGTATTTGTTTATAGTGTATCTTTTGTCAACGGACTCAAATTAATTGTACAAGAAAAATTCCGAACTTGAAAGACAAGGAGCACCAACGAGGGAAGGAGAGCACATTGTTTCAGCATTTTTTTTTTCTTTTTCTTAACATAAAACTGTATATTTGATAATACCCATTTTTTTTTTCTCTTTTTCTATTTGTTGAAATTCTCATTAAAGAAAACAGGCCCATTGTGAGAGGCCCATCAACAACCTTCACGTATATCACAAAGGGAAGGGAAGGCCCCTTTAAAGTCAATCCTGATTCATATTTACAAGGCCTGTTTGTAAAATGTGAGAGAGAGAGAGTCCATTTCATCCCCTCGTACAAAAGTTCCCTTAAAAACTACCAATTTGTTGTTATTCTAATAAGTATACGCTTCTAATTCATTTTCAGCCGTTGATTTTTGTTTAGATAATTTAGAACCATTGATTCATAAAATAATAAAGTAATAAAAAAATTTACAGTGCCAAAAAATCTTGTTGGATGGAAAGTTGAAGATAGATCTATTTAGCAGCAAAGTGTCACCTCTCACAATTGGAACAAACTAATTTCAAATCCCTTTTCTCTCATTGTTATACCCAAAAAAAAAAAAAAACAATTACATGATCAGATGATTAGTAACAATTAATTAGTAACAAATTAACTTGATCAGATGATTGGGGTTAGGTTGACGTCATCATATAAACAAATACCCTAAATGGATGATTTGGTCATTATTTGAAACTACAACAGGAAAACTCAAAAAAGTAGTTCAAATGATAATAAAGACGAGTTGTAAACCTGACGTCCTGAGTTCAACTCTTGACAATCTAGTGTAGATAACTTGTCTTTGATTGGATTGAAGAGAGAATTAATTGAGATGTATATAAGCAGAACTAGACACATCTAACCATTAAACCAAAAAATTTTGATCCATTGCAATGGACTAATGGAAATTGGATAAGGTCCCAAAGTCTACTCAGTATATACTACAATAATGTCGTTTTCTTTACTGTAGGAGTCAATATAGGACTCTTATGCTAGTGCATACTTGGTTAAAGCTTTTTCTGGACTGAAAAAAGAATGCACATGAAATGCCCTCCTGTATCAGTCAACTGAAAAATAATATGTTTATTTCATAGTTCAATGGATGATATCACTAACCCCTAGATGTACCTAAAATTCATGATTGATTGACCACCAAAACTCCATGTTTATGGTGTAGGTAGGATGTGTCATTTTGGTATCTGCTTTGAAGAGGATGACTACGGTGTCGAATTCGGTACCGTACCAAAATTTACGAATTTTTAAAGTTGAATTTTAACTTTTTGAAGTAAAAATTATATTTGTAAAAAGCGTAATCGATTTTAAAATATTATCATCATTATGAAATTTACAATTTTTAAAAATTAAGTTATATTTTTTAAAAATAAAGTTAAAATTAATTTTTGGACCACGGGGGTATTCATGGTTGATCATGAATTCCTTTAAAATTTGTACAATCACATTTAAAAGTTGTAAGTTGAT